TTTTAAGCGTTTGAAGCCTGTCAAACGGCAGCCTTGAACGCCTATAAGAAGCCATTGCTGCGGCCGGGGGGATGCCTTGAGCCATTGCTGTGGCCTTGTGGTGGCTTTTGCCTGCGGGCGTGCCCGAGGCATGGACGCCCTAACGACAGAGCGCTCTGCAGGCAAACGGCCGGCGAGGCATTTTAAGGGTTGTAAGGGTTTGAAGCCTGTCAAACGGCAGCCTTGAACGCCTATAACAAGCCATTGCTGCGGCCGGGGGGATGCCTTGAGCCATTGCTGTGGCCTTGTGGTGGCTTTTGCATGCGGGCGTGCCCGGGCATGGGACGCCCTAAACGACAGAGCTGCTAATGCAGGCAGTCAAACGGCCGGCGAACATTTTTAAAACTGTTTTAGGGTTTGAAGCCTTTCAACTGCCCTTGAACGCCTATAAGAAAGCCATTGCTTGCTGCGGCCGGGGATGCCTTGAGCCATTGCTGTGGCCTTGTGGTGGCTTTTTTTTCCTGCGGGCGTGCCCGAGGCATGGACGCCCTAACGACAGAGCGCTACGCAGGCAAACGGCAGGCTGCAACGCTGGAACAGCAGGCAGCCTTGAACGCCTATAAAAGAAGCCATTGCTGCGGCCGTGGGGTGCTCTTGAGCCATTGCTGTGGCCTTGTGATGGCGTTTGCCTGCAGTGTGGGCGTGGCAAAGGTGCAAGAAAGACAGGATCCACGGCGTGGCAAAGGTTCAAGAAAGACAGGATCCACACCTCCGGTGGTCCCAGGCGCCGCCCCGGCCTTGGCGAAGGCCAGGGTCGGCGGATATATATATATATATATGGATTTATAGGGATTTTTCCTGGCTTTTGGACCAATAAATCCATATGTATATAACTATATATATATATAACTAACATCTATTATATATAATATATAACATATATATTTATCTAACAAAATGCACACACAGACAGTATCTACTTTAGGAGCTTAAAGTGATAACCACAATGGAATGGTCACCTGCAGCTGCCAAGCCTCACTGTCACGGGAAAAAACACAGAATTTCCTCAATTTCACCAGAAATTGGTGATATTATATAATTATATATGTGTATGTTATATATATATATATACTCTGGCAATCAAACATGTCGATTGAAAAAAAAACTATTGAGTCATATTTTTCCCATGTTCACCTCAAACTGGGATGTTCAATTGCCACGTTTGATGACCAGAGGGTTTTTTCAACCCTCCAAAATTGGAGGTGTGATGATTAGGTTTGCCACATCAGTTCTTGAAAAGATGCTACCAGCGGAAACTACCAATCAGCCAAGCCAAGGAAGGTTCCATGACGTGGATCTGGGCCCTGTCCAAGAAGTGACGCTTGTGCGGCGAGCGTGTGGCGCTTGCTGACATTTGTGGAAGCTGGTTTGACTTCAAATGGTTGGTTAATAGGATGATTGATTTACTGTTGGCTTTACCAAATTACCAAGGAAAAAATAGGAACAAGGAACTGCACTAATTACATGTTTGTAGCTACCAATGTAGCCCTTTGAGATGTGGCTTTCCTTGTGTTTTCCTGCGTTCATTGTCGGTCAAACCTTGGATATCCTTTGTTGCGGGAAAACTCTGTGTGCAATGCCAAAGGACCTGCAAATGCAGCAGTCGTTGCATTGAATCGCTTTGCAAAACAGGTTGCCTTTGACCACGGCCTTGACCTTTTGACTCTGGAAAGATAATGATATGGAAATATGTAAGAAACCATTGGAACGTCCACCTCCAACAAAGCAGTTTGCAACTGGTGAACACCCAAACCTACTTGAAACAATTTCCTGGGTTGTTGTTGTGCCATCGGTGATCTCCCAGGGTGGCGGCCAGATGTCCAGATGTCAGATTTGTACCGAGATCCCATTCGCATTGATTTCAACAGTACTTCCAGCTCCCAAGCCCCCAAAAACATTCAGAGTTCATCACATGTTTGACTGTTTGACCCAATTCCTCCCTTGGCAACTCGTTTTTTCGATCTAGCTGGGCTCAAGCAGATGGCTTTGCGGGCAAATGGGATGGATGAATCAAAGCATCGTGCCCGAAAAGGAGATGAAATACCTCAATAGTTGGAAAAACTATGATTAGATCCACCGAAGCAACTGACACTTTATGTATGACCTCTAAAAATCTTGGTGCCCCAGAAGAGCCAACTCAACTAGCCGCACAGCGGAGGCCTGAAAAGGACACGGCCACGATAGCTTTTTGTGTGTAGGGCTTGGATTCATAGCTATGGCCTCACGTTTGTTGCAGTGGTGGGGCCGCTTCACACAGGAACCGGATATTGCGGAGGGGTGAGCAGTTGAAGCTGGAAGCTGGATTCTTGGGAAGTCTGGGACATGTTGACCTTACATGAACATCCCTGCAATTTTTTGATGAACTGGGAGGGCTGGGTGTTGTTTTTGACAGTTCTCATTTTGTAGCGATCAAAGCTGGCAACGGAAAATCCAAATTTTGAAGGTAGAACATGGGCCATGA